TCCTAGTGGATCCAAATTGAGGAGCAGTGCTGGTTTCTCATAGATTTTAGAGGCTTTTTTCACTAAGAGAAGTTGCCCCCTTCTGACCATTAAATTGAATGCATTTATAAGGATTAAGGAATTTTCACACTTGTATATACAGTCTATGAACTCAACTTTAATCTATCAGCAACTGCAGCAAGCCAAAAGCATCAAATGTCAAATATTTGAAGGAACAGCAGAACATAAAAAAGCATGTTGGCTTTCTATGTTAAACTTCATGTAATACAAATAGTTTCTCCCTGTAAACTCATCAGTAAATATTTATCTCTTCTCTGTTTGCCCCAGCAAGCTCAGGATTAGTGTAATGTGCAGTGCTTACTGAATTAGAGGAACCACTGACTGCAACACCTCAGAGTTATGACTGTTTATTACAAAAAACCGCAGAGTGTTTTCGACATACCTTATCTTCACCATGGTTACTAATATCACAGATCTCACTCTCACCTCAGGGTATGGCATGATTTGGCTCTGTGCTGCCATCTTGCGTCAGTGGTGGGAACTGCTGCAGACTTTTTTTCCACACCTTGTTGATGCATATTTCACAGGACACAATTAGGGAGGATGTGTCTGCAGTGATTTGGTAGCACCGCTTGTAACATCAAAATGCATGAGGTATTTTTCGATATGAATTGCTGTGACAACAATTTCATTAGATGCAGAGATTTAAATTCGGTATTTGTGTATCAGGTGAGGGTGGTGCAGGGGAAAGAGCCGGCCCATTTGATGAGTCTGTTTGGAGGAAAGCCCATGATTGTGTACAAGGGAGGAACGTCCAGAGAAGGAGGTCAGTCCGCTCCAGCTGAGACTCGACTCTTCCAGGTGCGCTCCAACTCTGCAGGACACACACGAGCTGTGGAGGTGAGAGGAAACGTCTCATTCATTACCTGAATTTAATCATTCCTCGATTATTTTATTTTTTTCTTCTCTCTTTTGCAAAACAGTTTCTAACAGATTTCTGAAATATTTGTTTTCTAATCTAATAAGCACTGTCCATTAACAATGAAGTAACAATTAGAGGTTTTAAAGGAAAGCAGAAGCACTTCATACTTGAAGTTTTTTTTAAGTATTCAGTAAATGGTTGAAGGGTATTTAAGAGGAAAAGGGAAAAATGCATAGTAAGAATGGAAAACACCGATGTCCTTTCCTTTAAAATACCCTCTCGAATTGGTGTTAGAGGGCATAAAATGTCAAATAAAGCATTATGCTAGCATGAGTATTGGTAAAAATGAAAAACCACCAACACTTAAGAAGGTCAACGTGCAACAGCTCCTCATGATAACTTGCAATATCTCTGTTTCTATGCAGCTTGACGCGCAGGCATCAAACCTAAACTCCAATGATGCTTTTATTCTGGTGACCCCCGGCAACTCCTTCCTGTGGGTGGGAGTGGGTGCCAGCGACACAGAGAAGCAGGGAGCTCAGCAGCTGTGTGACATCCTGGGCGTGTCTGTCTCCGAGCTGTCCGAGGGAGGAGAGAGCGGTGAGGAAACAGGATAAACACAGTTACCTCCACTATCATTTTCTCTCCTTTATTTAATTTTTTTGCTGCATTTAAGTCAAGCTGAAACCCAACAGCTGTTAACATACTCAGAACTGTATCTGTGTCAGCTACAAAGTGTGGTCTGGCTGTTAAAATAGCGCTTTAATGCGAGGCTAAATAGCTCCCTTTTTGTATTTCGGCTAAGCGCTTATGTTCATCCATATTGAAACAAAGCAGACTTGATTGCATCACCCCTTCTGATGTTGTCAGAAGTCTTGCTATTTGCTTTCCAAGCTCAAGAAGAAGAAACTCCCTGCTAACAGTTTCACATATAAAAACACCTCAGGCTACAACATAACAGATTCAATTTTTCATAAACACCCTGCTTTTGAGGACTGGCCTCGGCTGGGGCCTCGCAAAAGACAAACGAGAAATTCACCATTTTATTTCTGATGGTTGAAAAGATTTTCTATTCAAAATTGATGCTGTACTGTGCAGGTACCTGCTGTTTCACAGATGCTGGTTGCAAATTTACATTTACACTTTGTTTTATTTTGCTTTATTTTACCCTTAAAGGTGCTCTAACAATAATTTTGTATATTAAAAATTGATTAAATAGCTGTATAGCTGGAAGGGCAAGAATAATTGTAACAAAAACTACACAATATTGCAAACACCTCAGCAGGTCCATTAAGCTTTTAGCTCCTGGTTTGTTTCATTCTTTATATATGTTTACAGGTATTTTTTTTTTGGTCTATGGCAGGTGATGTAACAGCACTGACATTTTCAGTGCTCTTATCTCACCTGTAAACCACTGCTCACTTGACGAAAACCACCAGTTTCCACATGGGCAAAATAAAATGAATAAATAGCAAAATAAGGTTGCCCAACTAAAGTCTATGTGTGGGGAAACACTGCAATTGCACTTACCAGACACTTTATTAGGTACACCTATTCAACTGGTTGTTAATGCAGATATTTAATCAACCAATCACACGGCAGCAACTCAGTGCATATAGGCATGAAAGCATGGTCAAGATGATGTGTTGGAATTTGAAGCGAGAGCCAGGATTGGGGAGAAATGGGATTTAAGTGTCAGACTGGCTGACCTGAAATTTTCAGAACACATTTTCTCTTATCCCACTGCCTCCCAGTGCAAATAGAGGAATTTGTCCAGCTTCAGTGTGCTGACAGTGAAATCACTGGAACATCTGTCCACTAACAGATACTTCTAGCAGTTACCTCAGTTAAAAATAGTGATAACCTGATAATGTAAACCAAGCATTTTGTTTTCTTCCCCATTAGACAGAACCAGGCTTACTTCCAGGTTTTATGCTAAACTAAAAACCTGATTTGGCTTTGTACCAACAAAAAAGGAACAGAGTTACCCAAATGTCAAACTATTGCTTTGCCCTCTTACAAATTCTGATGGTTGTAATAGCTTGAAGTGTTTCTGTCGTTTTACAGATCGGTTCTGGGAGGCTCTGGGTGGAAAGACGGAGTATCGCACCTCCACTAGACTCAAGGACAAGATGGATGCTCATCCACCCCGTCTCTTTGCTTGTTCCAATAAGACTGGAAACTTTATAGTACGTTTTCTTCTCCTGCTGGATTGGTTTTGTCCTATTCTGACTCGAGTTTTCAAGTCTTTGGTATTGCACGAGCATGTGCAGGATGTCAAGAATATTTCAAAGTACCTGCTGAAAACAGTGCACTGTGTCTTTATTTGTCGTTACGTGTACATAAAAATAAAGCCCCCTTAAATCCGTCTTCTTCTTCTTAGATTGAGGAGGTACCAGGTGAGATGACCCAAGATGACCTTGCCACTGATGATGTCATGATCTTGGACACCTGGGAGCAGGTAAAAAACAAGCTGACTGCCTTTGCTGTACTATATGCATTCAGAGCAGAATCAGTGCCCACAAAAAGAATAAACTCCACAATAAACCTTTATTTATTTGTTGTTTTTTTTATTCTTAGGTGTTTGTCTGGATTGGAAATGAGGCCCAAGAGGAGGAGAAAACTGAAGCTATGGCATCTGGTGAGCAAATATGAGGAGAAAGAACAATGCCATGTGGAATAGGAGACGAGAAATACAGCTGGCATTGCAAATTATCTAACACAACATCAATCATTAGATAAAAAAAATTAAAACTTAATCAAAAAACAGAATGTATTTATTTAAAAGACATCATAATTACTGATACATGCATTAACAGCAAAGTGCCCCATAACTAGAGCAGCAGTGTCACCAAGAGTCAAAGCATAAAGCATCTTCTGCTACCCTTTTAATCCTTGTACTAATTCAAACTCGTCTTCCTCAGCGGTCCGTTACATCGAGACAGATCCGGCCAAGAGAGACCCGAGGACGCCCATTGTCAAAATCAAGCAGGGCTTCGAGCCGCCCACGTTCACTGGCTGGTTCCTGGGCTGGGACTACGACTACTGGACCACCGACCCTCTGGATCGCGCTATGGCTGAACTGAACATCTGAACATTCCCTTGTTCCCACCTCTCTGCCCCGACCTGTCACCGTGTAGCAAGATCTTTTTTTTTTTAAGCTACACGTGCCCTTTTCTTCTTTTTTTAACGAATCACTGTTTTTTTTTCACTTTGTCTCAAATGCTACTGTTGTGCCTTGAAACCAGTGAAATCATCCAGTACAAATAGAACTTCAACACAGGCTTTCCTTTAGGATTTGCACTACATATAGCCTCAAACTACGACTCTCATTCAAGGCGATTTTCCCATGTTTGACAATAAAAACCTGTTTACTAGCAAAATATAACAAACATAAAAGAAGACAGTTTAAAGTTTGGTTTTCCTGCAATATTACAAAAGCTACTGCCAAGAAAACAGCTTATAAAAAGCAATACAACCAATGCCTTAGAATGATTTCCTTGAGCTTACAGTAAGCTTGTTTTTAAAGGGTACTGTCTTTATTGATGTTTTTGTACCTTTAGATGTTATATTTATTTTAAAATAATGCCACAGATTCTAACCCAGGAAGCTTGTGTTCTGCTGCAGTGTCTTTTAGTGGAAAACCACTGCTTTGCTTCTTTATTAGCTCCACTTTCTGTGGCAATTTCTAAGGTTTCCTGTAATCAATTCAATAAACCAAATTAAAATATACCAGCTGTTTTCTGCCTCTGCTTTTACAAACACTTAACTTCTCACACTGACCTGAAAGAAAAAAAATCAACACAAACATGCTTTCAGATTTATTTAGTCATATACACTTAACTCAAAATAAAATCATATCAAATCATACTGCACAAAAGAATGCGTGCTACAAACAACAACAAAGCAAACACAGGCATTAATCCTGAACGAAACTTCAAAAAGTTATTCATGTGTCTGAGGTTTATTTTTACAGAAACAAATTCATTTAAATTACAATGAAAACTGGTAAACTGGACAACAATCAATCAAACAGTCTTTAGAGAACACAGCAGCACAGTGTTGTCCACTGGTTGTGTTTCCATATGTATCAAAATTCCCTAAATGTCACTATTGTTACCACAACAGAAACCTATACGACTTACTAAAGTAAAATCGAACAACCTTTCCCTTTCCTAACAAAGAAATCTTCTGTGTGGCAACAGCAGAACAATAAACTTCATGTTGCTGTAGGCAAAAATCACTTCTTGGTCAAACAGTCCAAACATTTATGTTAAAAGTAGGAAAGCAGAACAACAGATTAAAACAGGACGTGTCATTTTCACAATATATAAATTCAAACATGTTTAAATATTTACACGCTGAAAGAAAGAATATGATCAATTATAACTCATTTTTTCAGCTTCCTGATACTTGGACACTTTCTGAAGCTTTAAATGAACAAACTTGCAAATAAATAAATAAATAAACAACTTAAAACAAAAACTAAAGAAAACTCAATGAAATAAATAAAACTTCAAGTTAAAGGTTATGCTAAGACTAAAAACTCATACTACATATTATTATATATATGTTATATAATATATTGAATCAGTGGTCATTTATTGGCAGACACACCAAGATGACTGCGGGGCATTGCCACTGCTGGCTCAAGCTACCCGCTCAGCTGCCAGAGCACCTGAGGCAAAGCAAATATTCAACTCCAGCTCTGATAAACAGAGAATATGCTAAATTTCACAGGTTTGTAATAAAGGGTAAATTCTCAAAGAAGGCCTGTGGGCTAGGAGATGATACCCTAGATTGTGTCACTTTTTTTCTTTGATTATAAAGTTGGAAAAAAATAAAAAGAAGTTATAAATTAAACCTATGTGAAAATAAGCTGGCTGCTGTCAGATGTAATGACGGTGAGGCAATGAAGTTGATTACACATGTATATGTGCTCAGTGATGCATGCTGGGAGTATGTGCATTTCTTTTCTTTTTTTTAGACACTTTCTCATGTATTGACGAATTTCGGCAAAATCTCCAGTGGAAGTGCCAAAATGATGGTGGAGTTCTTCTCTTCAGCGATGGTGTTCAGGGTCTGAAGGTAGCGCAGCTGCAGGGCTGACGGAGACTCTGCAATCACCAGGGACGCCTCCTTCAACGCCCGCGATGCGCTCATCTCCCCCTCTGCTGCGATCACCTTAAGAGGAGAAACAGGAGGGAAGAAAATGAAAAGAGCGCCTTGATCTCACAGCCCAGTGGAAGAAGCCTCTACACCCACAGTTACGACTATTCTTATTACAAAATCTTGCAGAATTCCTTTTTTCTGGGTTGCGATAGATTTCTTGTTTTATTTGTAAATCTCCTTTAAACCAATTTTTAAAATCTCCAATAACCTATTGTTTAAAAGGATTAGACCAGTATGTAACCTTACAAACTACATAAATCTCCCAATGTTACTTTTTTTTCCTTTTTATGAAATTGAAGTGTAGAAAAATAACAACAATCGATAAATGCAAAAGAAGGACACAGGAAACTGGAAGGCAAAAAGCTGAGTGCTATTTGAATACTTTCAAAATAGGTCAGTGTTTCCCACACATTAGGAAATGAATGGCCAGACAATCCACTTGATCTTATTTTGAAATTCAGTTGCTGCTAATTTGCAGCATTTCGTCTCTCAGATGGTCCTCGAAGACATTTCCCTTAAAAGACTTGTGTTTAGACAGTGATATGGAGATGTAGAACCGCCTTACCTTGGCTCGGGCCTCACGGGTGGCCTCAGCCTCAGATGCCATGGCTCTCAGTAGCTGAGGGGGCAGTTTCACATCTTTGATCTCCACCCGCTCCACTTCGATTCCCCAGTCATCTGTGGCATTGTCCAGAGTGACCTGAGGAGACAGCCATGCAATATACCGTTTGTAGTACCACATCTGTAAAAATAGAACGTATGTTTAAAAAACCCTCAACAACAATAGATTTTATCGCAAAGTTTTTAAATGAATGAGAAGGATGTCCCTCATCTTTCAAAGTTTTACATTTTTCAGAACTGTCCAGCAGATGGAGCTGACAGTGGTGACACGTTTCTCTCACAAAGCAGAGAAACAGACACACATTTTACATCTACACACTGTCACACACTGCATGTCTATTTTTACATTTTATGAGCAAAAGAATTCATGAAAAAGTGTCTATTGGTCATTGTTGATCATACTATGATTATACAACTCTTCTGAGAGTGGAAGCTGTTACTGCTACAAAGATTTACCAGTGGGAATTTTTGCCCATTCATCCAGAAGAGCATTTGTAAGGTCAGACACCAGTGTTAGACAAAGGGGCCTGGCTCACAAACTCCATTCTAGTTCATCCCAGTGGTATTCAGTGGACTTTCAGTCAGCTTCTTCAACACAAAATTCATCCAACCATGCCTTTGTGGACTTTGCTTTGTATACTAGGGCACAGTATGTAACAAAAAAGGTCTTTCCCCAGGCTATTCCTACAAAGTTGGAAGCATAGAATTGTCCAAAATGTCTTGTTAAGCTGAAGCAGTGAGATTTCCCTTAAGTGGACGTAAGAGGCGCAGGCCAAACCCAGCTAAACAATCCAACGGCATTGCTGAATTCAGCGAGTAAGAGGTGTGGTCACAGACATTTGTCCACTTCCTGAAGTACCTCCTGATCACTGTCTCTGTGACTCTGAATTAGAAATAAATATTTAATCATTTACAGCAGCTCAGCATAAACTGGAAGTAAAAGTTTAATGGAAAAAATAAATAATTAAATTCTAAAGCAAACTAAAAGCTGGACTCGTCATAGAAACATGGGATTAGCTAAGCTTCACTCAGTTTACAGCAGTTTGTTAGTTTAACAGTAACACACAGTTCGGGTGACAGCTGCATTATGCACCTGGTAAACAAGGCTCAGAGCAAGATGGCATCTCAAAATGCCTTAACAATGAGCCAATAGAGACAGAAGGACTTCACAGAGATGAGGGAATACCTTTTGGATATACCACATATAACAAATGTGTAAGGTCATACCCTTGGACACACCCTTAGAGTGACAGCTCAAAGGCTTATTGGACAATGTAAACGATGTAAAAAAAAAAAAAAGTAAATTTTGGAAGTATATAATTATTTCTTGCATGTTTTGGGGTCACAGTTACAGCTAAGAGAAAAGCTGAAGGAGTTTACCTGCATAAAATGTGCAATGTGTTCACAGTCAGACAGAATCTCTGCCAGGTTCTTGTTACTCAGAACATTCCTCAGGGTGGTTTGGGCCAAAAGCTGCGTAGCAGCATCTGCATTACTGACATTAGCCACGGCCAGAGTAGGATTCTGGACCCGGTAGTAGACCAGGCCATCAACACACACTGCCACAGAGTCTCTGGTCAAAACCTGAGAGAAGAACAGTGTTTACACAATACTGTGTAATAAGCTAAAAAACTACAAATAAAATAACTACGCACAGTTATTATTACATGAGCTGAATTCCAGTGAAAGTAATCTGCTTAATGTAACTGGAAGGGTGCATGTCGTACCTCTTGTGGTGGGATGTTAAAGGTGACGGTGCGCATGTCCACATTAATAAAACTGTCAGTGCACGGCAAGACGAAGAACAAGCCTGTGGAATCACAAGAATGCAAATAGTTTCAACAAAGACTAACGCTACAGTAAACACAATAATGAGGAAGCTTCCTCACAAATGTTTGAAAAGACCAGGATGAATGAGATCCTGGCAGGAGGCCAAGTCAAGCTCTTGCTTTATGAGACTGCAGCTGTACTGACAGCAAGGCAAAGCCGTGGATATTTGCAGCTTTCATTAGCCTGTTTCAAGTCACTATGATTGAATTAGTGCATCAAACAATACTAGTGAAATAGACATGTGCTAGGTGTGCAATCATTTAGCAAACATTAACACCACACCGGATAGAGAGTGGTTGGATGCCATTCCTGTCAAGATATTGTAAATTTAAATGGTGAGATCACAGACATCTGTTCAGGAGGGGCAATGATGATAACAACAGTCTCCCCGTGCCACTTCCACCATGAAATCTGAAGCACTCTCAGTCAGACAAGTAAAAAGGTCCCAGTTGGTCTAATACAGTCTGAAAAACATCTTGTGATGCACATAAGCATGTTTATCGATAAAAATCTCAGTTTCAGGCAGAATGAAAGATTTTACAGTAAACTTTCTTTGTGAGCCCGTAGATAGAGAAGCCAAGAGTTGCAGGTTGCCGGTGCTATTATTAACCCCATGTTGTCATAAACTCAAGCCCGGGGCTCTCTGAGGAGCCACGTTTCAGCATTTTGAGAGGACACTGCTTGGTTTTTAGATCTAGTACAACAAGAAATCAAAGATAAAGAGACAGTGAGTTGTGAGGTGTATGCAAATTGTACCTCGTGGGAGTCTGTATTTTTTACTTCTATGCTTCTAACAAATCTGCTGCCATTCAAAACACAAGTTACATAACTGATCGCATGGATAAGGCATTCAGAAAAATATGCTGTAGCGCTTGAACAGCTCTGTGGGTGCAGGTTCCCTCGGGCCCCTGTGTGAGGCCTGAGTGAACCTGCACCCATGCCCACTTTGTCTGTGGTCTTGTTGCTATAAAGCCTACCAAAAAATCACATTTTAATTTTTAGCTATGACATGCCTTGTGTCATTCTGCCCAACAGCAGGAAGAAAACGCTCCTGTAAACACAACACAACAGGACCCACTGCCCCCATGCTTCTCTTTGATTCTTCCTATGGTTTTTTTTCATGGTTTTAACAACACAAATATTGGACTGTCAATCAGTGTCTCAAAAACTACACTATGGACTGTCACAAAATAGTAAGTAACACACATTACGTGCCCCCTCCCCCAAAAAAAAAGAGAAATCCTCAGGATTTACTGGAGGAATTGGCACTACATTTGGTTACCAGATGATGCATGGTAATGTTTCTGTGATCCCCCAAAATGAAGTTGGCTTTTGCGACTTTGAGTCGAGTTGTTTAAAAAAACATTAAGTGGATTTCCATGAAATTTGGTACACGCATTAATATGCCCCGAGAATCAACAGCAATTGCTTCTGTGATTTCATGACTCTTTTTGTCATCTGGTGCCATCATCAGGGTGCATAATTTGCCCAATACTTTGCTATATGAACAAAACGGATCATGCATCTAATCAGTACTTTCTTCACGCCGGCATTTTAACAACCACACTGTAATGACACTTGGATATACATTATGTAACTTTTTGCGCTCCCTTGCAGACTGATAGAATTAGAGGTTTTTGTAGTAAAGTAACCGCAACCAAACAACTGGTGTGCTCTACAAAACAAAGGGTGAAAAAAAATGTAACTCAACAATACACATCATATATGAAAAATTTATTTTTAGGTCAATCAGTCCAGTGACTGTGGTCAGCTGTGTGACGATGGGTAAGTTTCCTACACTGTTTGTCTGAATTTAATGCAAGAAAAAACCCTCCAATTTAAAGCTCAGCTGATAAAGGTTTAATTGAAAACTATCTAGTGGAATGCGGGGGCAAAAAATCTAAACTAAATATGCCACTTTCCTAGCCCTGTATACTTTATCACAGTGCATTTCCTCCTTGAGTTTCTGGGTTGCCATAGCAACTGATGTCATTAAGTCTGCCAATAAAAGCAGTAATCAATATTAAATTTATTGACTGCATCTAAAATAACGGACAATCTAAATCGCTGGTAACAGGACACTGACTAGTGCTTGTTCTCCTCCCGCCCCTTTGAAGCAGCTCTGTATTACGGTAGCTACAAGTGAGCCACTGAAACACTTAAACAAATGTCCAACAACTGACATTTGCAAAGAAATGTCAGGACATTTGAATGATGATCCATGCAACCACAGCTGAGCTTGAAAAATATATTATCTATGAGTTAAAGACTACTAACATTTCAATAAAGGAACTGTATATTTAGATGACTATTTAAAAAAAACACACGATGGTGTAATAAAAAGAGAAAAAGAAATAAAACATGACTTCTTACCTGGTCCTTTGGCTCCTCCTGACAAAAGGCGCCCCAGGCGAAAAATAATAGCTCGCTGGTACTCCTTCACAATCTGTATACAGAGAAAAACAACCCCAAGGTCATATATAATATGTAAGTAAGTATGAGTAATTTCTTTTTCTTGCACCTAGATATGGAGGTATTCTTATGCATGCTACTTTTAAAAAGAAATGAGTTTTCCTGTAAAGTAAAGATGCATTTTATCTGGGTGAATGGTAAACAACCATGCGTCACCAGCTTTTAAAAGGTGTTTCTAAAATAAAACAAATAGCACTGTAATTTAAGTAGCTGACCACAATACACATCCATATGGAGATGGGCAGAGTAATCAGCAGGAAAATGAGGGAGAGCCCAACCAGAATCCTGCCACAAAAGCCAATGTCAGTGTTTGTGTTCTCCAAAGCTGGGGAAAGAAGACAGACAGCATGATTTCAACTGGTTTGTACCAACTATGAGAATATATTAATGCATAGTGAATCTTGTATATTTGGACATATCTGCATGTATATTCTTCTAGATGCTAAGAAATTATATTTTAGATTTTATTTTTATTTATTTTATTTTTCAAAGGTAAAATGGAAGGGAAAAATCCTAATCTATTTGGCCCTATGTGAAAAAGTAATTGCCCCCTTTCAGCCTTTCAAATAGTTGAATCAAGAAATCCCTTAAATAGAACCTGTCTGACAAAGCAGGTAAGCTAAAAGATCTAAAAAAACAAACAAAAAAACAATGCAACATGCCACAATCTAAAGAAACAAAGTGATTGACATCTATCACTCTGGAAAGTGCTCCATTTCTAAAGCTTTGGTACTCCAGCAAACCATTGTGAAAGACGCTATCAATGAATGGAGAGAACTTGTAATGTTAATAAATCTTCCCAGGAAGAGGCTGCCTACCAAATTTACTGGAAGAGCACGGTTAAGGTGTGAGTGGAACTTATTAACGGCTTATTAACGGTCAGAGCTAGCTAGCTCGTTTTTTTAAGTAATGATCACTAAAAAAAATATGTACTTCTACCAACATTTAATTAGAAATTTCACGCTAATCTAAAAGTAAAACTTTCAGCTAAGTGCCGACTTAAAGAAAAAGCCAAATAACTCGGCTGGGCCAAAGTTCACTGACTTTATGAAGCCATCTCTGTCCAGCTATCAGTAAAAGGGGTAGAAAATTAAGCAGCCGTTACCTAACTGCCGTTCGCGACTTCGGGCTCGTTTCATTTCAGCATCTTCGTTGTCGTCAGCCATAGTCCCGGCCAAATAATAAATAACTAACAGTGACAGCAGGAAATGATAGCGATATATTGATTCACTATGGGCGACAGCCAGTTAGTGCGAGGTGACGTTTACCCAAGTTTTTACTTGCAGTAATCTGACGCAAGGGGGCGTGGCTGAGACCAGCTCCATTCCACGTCCTGGAAGACCCCATAACTGTAGAAAACATTGGAAAAACCACCCGGAGAAGAGAACGAGGAAGTTTCATATTCAGTTCACTATTGTTCATGCTATACAAACGTCTGGAGTCACTTCTCATTTCTTAATGTTTTGCTAAGAAATGTTTAAATATATGTGGCAAAACAAACTGAGTATAAGGTGAACAAATCAAATCAAATCACTTTTATTGTCACATCACATGTGCAGGTACATTGGTACAGCACATGTGAGTGAAATTCTTGTGTGCGAGCTTCACAAGCAACAGAGTTGTGCAAAATACAATAATGTAAACAAGCAAAATACAAGAATGGCTACATCTGAAACTAATAAATATATGTACAATATATAATAGTATATGCATTTCTGGATGTGTATACTAAATATTTTTCTACTGTGTGTGTGTGTGTGTGTGTGTGTGTGTACACATATTTTACAAATTAAATAGAGTAAACAATAAATAAAATATATAAAAATATACAGAGTTGAGACATGTGCAAAACAGTGGCATTACTGTACAGTATGGAGTGCATAATGTTAAAGTTCCAGTAGTGAAGCTGAGGTGTCTATGACGTGTTCAGCAGTCTGATGGCCTGGTGGAAGAAGCTGTCTCTCAGTCTGCTGGTACGGGACCGGATGCTGCAGAACCTCCTTCCTGATGGAAGTAGTCTGAACAGTTTATGGCTGGGGTGACTGGAGTCCTTGATGATCCTCCCCGCTTTCCTCAGGCACCGCTTCCTGTAGATGTCTTGGAGGGAGGGAAGCTCACCTCCAATTATCCGTTCAGAGCACCGCACTACTCGCTGGAGAGCTTTGCAGTTGTAGGCGGTGCTGTTGCCATACCAGGTGGTGATGCATCCAGTGAGGATGCTCTCAATGGCACAGTGATAGAAGGTCCTGAGGATGCGGGGGCTCATGCCGAATCTTTTCAGTCTCCTGAGAAAGAAGAGGCGCTGCTGCGCCTTCTTCACTGTTTTGTTTGTGTGTACTGACCACGTAAGATCCTCAGCCAGATGTACACCAAGGAACCGGAAGCTGCTCACTCTCTCCACAGCAGCGCCGTTGATGGTGATGGGGGTGTGTACTTCTCTGCACCTCCGGAAGTCCACTATCAACTCCTTTGTCTTTGCGACGTTGAGGGTGAGATGGTTGTCTTGACACCAGTGGGTCAGGGCGCTGACCTCCTCCCTGTAAGCCGTCTCATCACCATTGGTGATAAGACCCACCACTGTAGTGTCGTCCGCAAACTTCACAATGATGTTGGAGATGTTGGAGTTGGAGTTGAACAAACTGAACACAGTTTGTTTTAATTACCTCGAAAGTCAATATTTGGTGTGACCACAGTCATTCTTCACAGTCTGAACTTTCTCAGGAAAGCTTTCCAGTATTTTCTCTAAGTGGTCTTCAGGAATAGTTTTCCTAGTTTCTTGGACATTCAGAGCTCTCCTTTGGATGTTGACTTCCTTTTTTAAATTTTTCTGTCAAGATGATGCCAGTAATGTTGAGTTCCGCGCTCTGGGGAGGCCAATCCATCATCGACTTTCATTGTGAGTTTCTTCTATCCAGGTATGTTTTCACTGCACTGACAATGTGTTTGGGACTGTCACACTGAAAAAAATGAAGGCATTGCATAGTGGATCAAAATCTAAGAGTACTTTTCTGCATTCAATACTATCAATTTTATCAAGGTCCCCAAACACCATAGGCTTTAAATGAATTACATCACAGGACCTCTTTGCGTTTTACAGATTGATGTAGACGCTCACTATTGCACCTCTTTCCTGACCTCTTATGTACATGTCAACAATGATCTGAACCAAAAATTTCAAGTTTGGATTCATCACTCAATAAGACCTGCTAATATTTGGTCGAGTTCTTGTGCAATTTGGCATACCGATACAATCTTTTCCCTATTGCCCTTCCGTAAGACCTTCAGATTGTGTTTATTTGCTGTAGAAAGTATTTTATGCCCGACACTTTTTCTTTTGTTTTCTACTGGTTTAATTTCAAAAGAAACATTTTAGAGAGTCTGAAAAAACATTGCTTAAAAATTAATAGGAATAAATAAGAAAAAAATTACAACAAATTATAGGTCCTTGGAAGCAAAATATAAAGATGTGAGGAGTGGCTCAAGACTTGTAAAACTAATTTGATTGATCTGTCCTGACTTTGTCATTCTTATCCCTACTGAAGTCTCATTAAAAGAAACAAAACATGTCAAGTCAAACTGAATGTGTTCAGTTCGATGGGGAGATATTTATACTAGATGTATAAGCATCGCCTCTGATTTGAAACAAAAAAATTCTCATATTCTAGACTTTCACACAGATCAAAGTATCCTGTGACCACCAAAAGCTAATACTTAACTTTTGAGTCCAAAGCATATTTGACCCAATATTTATACTGTATTTCCAATATTATACTGTTTGCTTACATTTTGAAGCCTAATATATAGCATTAATGATGTCACAAATATGTGCTAGACTTAAAAATGTGCATGTAGGTGTTGACATCTGAAGCTGAGATGAGGTGAGTTGAATATTTAAAAAAAATGGCAGAACATTTAAGTGAGACATTGAGCTCAGTGCTTGGAGCTCACATTTTTTATTTAAGATGGTCTGATACACCAATAGACCTTGTCAGACAATTCAACTGCAAATGAGCTTAAAAACATTATGCAGTCTGCACCGCCTCATGAGGTTAAAGAAAGATCAGCAAGGTTGACTTTCTTATGGCTTCCTCACATACAAAAAATGTAGTGGAAGTAACAGTCTACTCCATAGGTGTCAAACTCTGGCCTGTGGGCCAAATTTGGCCCGCAGCCTAATTACATTTGGCCCGCGAAGCCATACCAAATTACTGTTAGAGCTGGCCTACTGGTATTATACAGCTAATATATATATTGTTTAGTATTAAGCTTTGCTTGTTCCATATTCAGTTTTCCAGCAAAACTTATTTGAGTCCATAAGAAAAGATTCATTCTTAAATCTGGAGGAAGATTTTTTTTTTCAATAAATATTAACGTTAGCTCGCGACTTTGTTCCAGTTTTAAATTTTGGCCCACTGTGTATTTGAGTTTGACACCCCTGGTCTACTCAGTGTGGCAGCTGGAGCCTATTTAAATTAACCTGCTATTTACAGGCTACTGTCGAGGGTAATGCTAACAACTGAAAGTAGCTTCCATTAATAACCCAGGCAATGAAATATTTTCAGTGAATTTATGCGACAGCAGTCAGAGATTTCATTCCACGTTGACATGATAGCGTCACACAGTTGTGGCAGATTTGTTGGCTGTGCATGTGAATCTCCTGTTCCATAAAATCCCAAAGATGCTCTATTGGGTTAAGATCTGCTATTTGACTGCAGTAGCTTTGTGTTATCCTTCTGGGAACAACCATCAGAAAATGTGTACACTGTGGTTTGAAAGGAACTGACGTGGTCAACACCAATACTTAGGCAGGCTGTGGTGTCTAAATAATGCTCAATTGATAAAAAGTGGCCCAAAGTCTGCCACACCATTTAAACCACCAGCAGCCTGAATTGTTGATACAAGGCAGGATGGATCCATACTTGTATGCTGTTTACACCAAGTTCTGATCCAACCCCCCAACTGTTGCAGTAGAAATCGACAGTCATCAAACCAGGCAGTGTTTTTTCAATCTTCTATTGTTTGGATCATTCTCTGTAAGCCCAAGCAGCAGTTATCAAGCAGCTAAACAGGTGTACCTGATAAAGGCACACCTGTTTAGCTATTTAGCTATTTAGAGTCCTCCACCTGACGTGGTTCAAGTGTTCCAGTGTTTTGGCATTGTTCTTTCATCAATGGAGAACATTTCTGCCAAGGGCACATCTGTAAATACCTGATTACAGCTTCTCCAGTAAGCCTCTTCTCTACTTGTTACTGTTGCCTCCAGAGGCATTTTAGAAAGTAAGACATGCTTCAAAATGACATGAGATTGATTTCCAGGTTAAAAAAAAAAGCAACCATAAAAACCTGTTGAATACTAAACATTAGAGTTGGTCAGTCTCTGTAGGCTGGAAGACTACCTATGTACCAAAAGGCTATTGCAGGGGCCCAGGTTTGAGTCCTTTCCTGTAAGCTCTATTGTTATGTTATAATAATATTAAAAGGCAAAAATAAATCCTAAAAAAAACAAAACACAAACAAATAAAAAAAAAGACTAGACTGCACAAGCCACCAAATAATTGGAAAAGGTTTTATCCACAGAACACTTCTGATATAATCTGTGGCTGAAAGAATCATTATCTTTATGCAGTTAATCCTGAATTTGGCACTGAAGTTTGCTTACTTTATTTTATTATCTTTATATTCATTTTAACACTGCTACACCTACGAGTTCAATAATGAAATGTTGAAGGATGTGAATGCATCGAAACTGGGATTTTTTTCTTTTCTTTTGCTCTAAATCAGAATTAATAATTATCAAAGAAAACGGTATTTTGAGGAAAAATTAATAGGCCACGGTATTTTAAATCCCTTTACAGATCCCTACAGAACATGCACAAATGAAGATAAAGCCATCAGGATTAAATTTTACAGTCAGTAATGAAATACAAAATTGGAGCAGATTTAGAGCGTATAGACCATATGTAGACACCAGTTGACGAAGTGCTAGTGTATTTTTTTTCTTTTGGATCAATCCTTATTTGTAAGCTCCTTCAGTATTAACACCAATCATTTTAGTGACGGAGCTGGTTGTTGAGTTCAGGTGGTGGCATGCACAGAAAACCCAGGCAAAGTGCAATTATCCTGGGGAAAACTAAGGGATGGTGGCTGTGCATGTTGCAGTGGTCTAGAGCTCCACCTCACCTAATCCTCTTTTAATTAGGGTGAGAGAAAATGTGGAACCCCTCCTGGATTAGTCACAGCACATTGACAAAGCACCAAGCTGGGACCAGTGTACAAGACTGGTGGCCAATGTGGCCAGTTAGGTACAGCTAAGACCCTCTCATGTGTGA